CCTGTTAAAAATGTGTGTGTGTGTGTGTGTGTGTGTGTTGACCTGTTAACCTACCTGAGCCACTCTGGAGGACAAACATGTGGTTTGCTCTCCTAAGGGAGCATTCTTTGTTTGCTTTTTGCAAAGTGCTGTGACTCAGAAAGCATTTAGTTGCTGATTCTTTTAATTAAGTGCTGTTTACCCTTTGAGACAATACACAGCCTCTTTTGCCCTTTGAGCATAGATGAGTCACAAAGTTAGGAAAAGAAAGACTTGTTCATTCAGCAGAGCTAAAGGTTATCAATATCATTAAGGAAAATAGGAGATAAGAAACACTTTGATTTATTGCACATAAGCTCTTTGCACAATGATTGGACTTATCTGCTTTTTTTTAAAAAGACTCTGATATTCTATTGAAACAAGGACTTTGAAATGAAAATGGCCTTTGTTTTCTTTGTTTTGCTCTTTTTTTCCTTAAAGGGATAGTTCTTATTTACCTCAATAAATTAAAAAAAAAATCAATCTCACAGTTGCAGTGGAAATAATTACTAAAGGACCTTAATTAGAACTTTGGCTTCCTTATTTGGTAGAATAAAAGCATTTATTAGTGATTCTTCTGATTTCTACTATTTATCTCAATAATTACTTTAAATAAGAAAACAAATTTTAAAGCTTGTATCACTGTATGGATAAAGGCTATATAACTCCTGTGCTTAAAAAAAAGTAAAATATTAATTGTCATGTATAATTCAAAACTAAGAGAGCACATTTTTATATAATGATGCTTTATGCCTGAGGATTACATAATCCAGTTATTTTCAACTCAATGAAATATTCCAATTTCACATTTTCTTTGCCAAAATGTCTCATCTCTTGTACTTTCTAACCCAAGTACAATAAAAGCAAGTGCTTTGTAAAATGAAACTCATAATGAGGAAATACTGACTAATCAGAATTATTTAAAGCTTTCTTTTGGGAAACTCTGCCTAGCTTTAACTTATCTTTACCCTAAAGAGGATCTATCTCTTCATGTTGTATACAGGTTCACTGAGTTGGAGCTGACTTGACAGCATCAAATAATTGTGCAAGCAAAGAAAAGGGAAATATGAGATTGAAAACAGAAAAGTATTTATATAATTAACTATTTGAATACTTAAATTTTAGAATAAGGGTGGTTACACCCTTTACCTTTGAATAAATTCCTTGTATTGTAACTTTTTGGACAAAGTAAAATTGCTCCGCAGGTTTCCCAAACCTGAAATCTTTAGGAAAGGGAGCTGCCGTGTATTTCTCCTGTCAAGTGGCTAGTGGGTTCCAACTGTTGACCTGCTTGTTAAAAACTGAAAGTTTAACGACTTCAACACCAAAGTGCCTGAGAGTGGTTAAGAGAAATAATTAAGAAAGAAAATGAAACACAAAGCAAAGAAATTATCACCTGGTGGAACAAAGAGAGGGGAAATGTCTCTTCTCTCTCAAATATACCACTATTTCCCCATTTGGATATCAATTCCTGCTAACTACACAAGAGAATAAAAACTTGGGCTTTCATGAAAAGTATATATCTTATATTTTACTCCCTGTTAATAAACAGTAATAAGGAAATTGAATGTAGCTGTATTAAAGAGATCTGATAGTATGGTCTGTAGCCTCTTGTGCTTCTAAAAGAAGGGTCTCACCTCCCCAGTACTTTGAATCTATAGGAGTTCTTTCATTAAGATATACAGCCATGGAAACTCAATGAAAATTTGCTATGGGTTGGAACAGATTAAAACTAGGGAGTTTTTGCTTTTTGTGTAATGATATTGGAGTGTGATTGATATTATACTCTAGTATCTCTAGAAGGCATAAACCCTGGCTTCAATCTTCTATCTGACACTAATTAACGATATCACCTTGATCAAAACTAGTTATGCTACTCTTAACTTCCGTTTTCTTTTTGCTAAACTATAAATACTAAACAATATCACTACAAAAACAATTTCTCTTTTCTGAAATGTGTGTTTCAGTGAAAGATGAAATGTGAGATGCTATTGGAGGGTTTTGCACCAGTTTTTTACCAGGATTCTTTTCAGTTCCAGTCAAAATACACAACAAGAATTACCTTAAGGAGAAAAAAAAAAACAAAAAAAAAACAAACCCAAAACCAACAAACCAAAAACCTAACTGAAGTGACAAGAAACCAGATAGTTTCAAATTCACTGAAACAGAGTTGTTGACTCTGACTCATAGTGACTCTGCAGAACAGAATAAAACTCCATAGGAACTGGTTAGAAGTAGATTGTCACATTTTTCTTAGAGCAGTTAATTAGTTTGAACCACTAATTTTTATATTAGCAGCTGATACCCACTGTACTATTTGCCTCCCAGAGGTCCCACTAGATGTTAACCCAATGTTAATCCAATGTTGTTGTCAAGTCTAAACTGACTCACAGCTGATCTTCCACAGAGTTTTAAAAGGCAGTAAATTTTAAGGGAGGAGAATGCCCAATTTCCCATCTTTCTTCTGAGGAGCAGCTGGTGAATTTGAACCACATGTCTCTGGATTGAAATTAAAATCCTTACCACTAAGCCACCAGAGCTCTCTAACAGAATGCTAAAATGACATAATCAGGGCTTCAGGTGCTTTCCTTCTCCCATTATACTATCTAACTTGGCTAGGGTCTCAAATAGATGTAATTTATGAAGCCACTTATAAACATAGCCATGCCCAATAAAGAGGAGCTATTATCTGTCATAAACTCTTTTCTCAATGTCTTTCTCTTTTTAAAAAATGTAATTAGACAAAATTTTTCCCAAAAGCTTCTGATAAGGATTTCCCTGAAGTTGAAGCCCTTTAGATTAGAGATAATGGCCATGAATGAAACTGCTATTGGTATGAGAAACAGTTGAAGAAATATTTACAATTGAAACATGAAGATTTATTATAAAATAAAATTAGACTTTGACCAGAAAGGAGAAATTCAGAGACATGGAAGAGTAGTCAAAAACAATATTTGAGACAAAGTTTATTCTTGTGAAGGACATCAAAAGACACAATGAATGAAAAATTTGGGAAACTCCAAATGAAATAGTTACTAAAACACTGATGGCTTACAAGATTAAGTCACTATGATTTAACTTTCTTTTACGATGACACACCTTCTAATATTCATAGCTGTGGAGTCGACTCCAAATCATGGTGACTTGAACTCATGTTGACTCCATGTCTGTTATAGTAGAACTGTGCTTCATAGAGTTTTCAATACCTCATTTTCCAGCAATAGGTAATCAAGTATTTATTCTGTTACACCTCTGGGCCATTTTGTGGTTAGCAGCTAGACACATTAACTATTTGTAGACAGATTAACTATGTGTACCACCCAAGAACTCCTTCTAATATTTGTAAAAACTTATTTTGAAAGGATAACATTTAAAATTACTGTCTTAAAGTATGTTGTTCATTTCCACAGTGAAAATCTATAATGTGGTGCATAATCTGTGTTTCCCACCTGGTTAGCAGTCTAGACCTTAAAAAGGCATATTCCATTTAATTAAAGAGTATAAATTTGGCAATAGAAATTGGTGACAGTTGAACATGACTGATGTAATTTGCTTTACTGAATTGTGCACATGAAAAATGTTAAGTTGGCAAGTGCTGTGTTCAGTATATTGACAGGTGGCAGTATTACTGAGTGGAGATACTATTGTACTCTTCTTGTTTAGAATATTCTAGTTTTGTCACAGAAGAGTATGACATTTAACAACAGCAAGTATTTTAAGAAGTGCATTACCTTGTAGCAAGCACATAGTTGGGAGCATGTCTAAATTTGCAAGCCTTCTAACATACTGGAGTTTCTACCTTAAGCTGGGGGAAAAAAAGTAAAACTTGGTTCTCCTTTGACTATATTTTAACCAAGTTTATTCTTATAAGTCCCGTTCTTAACAATTATAAAATAAAGATCAGAGTTACAGTTTTCTCTGAAGTTGTATCCTAAAATTTTACACTGCATTAAAAAAAATACAGGCAGGGTCGGTGAGCTCTGGTGGCCCAGTGGCAAGAAGCTGCACTGCAATCCCAGAGGTGAGCAGTTTGAATTCACCAGATGCTCTTGCTGGAGAAGGAGGGACAATCTCCTTCTGTACCAGTCAGATCTGACTTGACAGTACACACACAATAAAGTAAAATAATATAAAATAAAATAAAACATATAGACAGGGTATAGAAGCTTCTCAAGTCTCACTACTGGGTAAAATACACACACACACACACACCCCTTTTTTCATGTTCATGTAATATAAAAAAAAATAAGGGAGAAATTAAAAATATCAGCTTTACAGTTTGAGGATCAGGTGAGAAAACAATGACGATGTTTAAGGGCATTGGACTATGTTCTTATGGTCTGTCTGGAAATGATGAGGAAAAACAATCTTATCCTTTGGCCACGAGCCTGAATTTCTCTTGATTTTACAGTTATTAGATATAAAGGTTTTCTTCATATTCACTGAAATTAAGTTAGATTTTTATATTTTTGTATCAGTTAAATAAAGAAAGTAAAGAGATACTTCTATATAAGTTTGCTATGAGAATTCATACACTATACAGAAAAATTGCTCCTGAAGACAGGGAAAATAGATTTCTATTTATAAATAACAAACAAAAAAAAATGTAAATCTATTCTCTTTAAGACTTAAAGCAGTAAATTTAGAAGATTCCCTCATAGAAGTTATTTTATTTAATTTGACACATGTTACTCTGGGAATAGTCTTACTTGAAAATTAATAGAACATTATGGAACTCAGAACTCAGATTACAATACTAAGCACAGTCTAGGCCTTCGTGCTCTTGGAAAAGTATTTATTTAGTCTTTGAATTCATTTTTATCTCATCAGTGATAATATTTGACATATTATACCATTGTGTATAGGTGTAATGAGAATTAACGTAGTAAGTGTACAGAATTTAGAAGATGATCTTACAGAAATCTAGCAAAAAATTTGTATGAACACTGACTTTTCCTCCTATATGATCTTTTGCTTTGTAGAAATGGTAGCATTGAAGTCATATTTGACCTTTTCTTTGCCCAGTGGGTGTCAGATGAAAATGTTAAAGAAGAACTGATTCAAGGCATTGAAGCAAATAAATCCAGCCAACTCGTCACTTTCCATATTGATTTGAACAGCATCAATATCACAGGTATCTGTGAACATTATTTGATTTCTTTGAATCATTAAGCTATGAAATTAAAATCCTGGTTATATATCATGAAAGCAGTGGGATCATCCTTGGCTTTAAGAATATGGCTTATTGCTGGAGGCAACACATTTACATGAGAAAAGTGAAATAAGGAGAAATCATCTTTTAAGAAAAAATACATCAAGGAAAAAGTATATAAAATATCAGATGATAAAACATCTTCGTAAATATTGTCATGCACAAACATATAAAAATTCTTCTACATGTTCTATGCATTGGGAAGGCGAACTGACTTCTTGTGAACTCTAACTTGTTTATAAAGCTTTGAGATATAGACGTGGATGCCATTAGGTTACAATGTCAAGTGGCAAGGTCCACAGTCTAATTGAACACAAAAAAGGAGGAAAATGTAATAGCCTGTAATCCTCTTTACAGTTTAGATCTTCTCACAGAGTTGAATTTACATTTAACTTATTGAAGTGTTTTAAAACACATTTTATAAAGAAAATACAAATTTCAGGTGTTTACTGGCTGCAGTATAATATGAACTTTTCAGTTTGATAGATTTTTAAATCAGTTAAGAATGTTATAAGTACTCTACATATAGAGTGTAATAATGAACATCATAAACAAGTAAAATATTATTTTTAGAAATAATTTTAGCAAATAAAGGACCAAGACCATCAAGAAGATAGATTAACATGTTATTGTTCGGTTCTTTTGATCAAGTATGACGCATAGAGATCTTTCGTAAAACAAATCTGAACCCTTCCTATCCTGTGCAATCTTCATCATCTATAAAACTCTTGGACCCATTGGTGCAGACATTCTATCTATTAATCTCATTGAGGGATTGACATAGTGACTGCTAAATGAATTTGAGCAAAATAGAGATTGTGGGAATGGCACAAGTAGGGCAATATTTCCATCTGTTATTTATAAGATTGCTGTACATTGCAGTCAAGTCAGTGAATCCTAACAACCTAACAGTGCATATTTATGAGACTGCTATAGTGTAAATGTGAAGAAATAAAAAACTGCAAGATTCTTGTTCCTGTTCTTTGACTTTTTAATCTCACTATGCAGAATATACTGCAAGGAAACAATCCAAAAAGAATTTGTCATTACAAATGTTCATACTAGTAATATCTTTAAATAGTGAAGTATAAAAATCCTATTATCATAAGAGTTCGGAATTAGGGTTGCAGAGTGGAGTATACTTGGGGTTGGGGTCAGGGGGTGCAGGGGCATTGTGTACCAGTGAAGGGGTTTTTCTTCTGCTTTTCAAAGAGAAGAGCGAACTGGGGGTGGGGGTGGGGTGGGCGGGGAGAAAGTGCAACAATGAATGAATGGAAATCCAAAATCTCTGTAAATGCTCATTGAAATTAATTTTTTAAAAAGAATAAATAGAAAAGACTTTTGGGGGGAAAATCCTATTATCTATCAAGAAATCAGAGAATTAAAATATTACCTCATCATACAATAAAGTTTTTTTAAGTGAAGACGTACTAAAACGTCAAATAATCTAGTTAGTACATGAGCATATCTCCCTTATAATTTTGTAGTTGAATGCTACTTTGTTGACTGTGACTTATGTTGAGATTAGAACTTTGCCTAGTACACCAGTAGCTCCACAGGAGAAAGGTAGGTAATCTCCTCCAGAGATTTACAGCCTCCAGAAATCCACTGGAGGGTGATTTATGAGCGGGTTCAGACTTTATGGCAAGAGTTTTAGTTTGAAGCAATCAGTTACTCTCAGATTATCCACCCTTTTTTCAATGTTTTCTGACGTTTATATAATAACTCTAAAATCCAATTTCCTTTGTTCCAGCACCTTTGAAGCATTTCTCCACAGTAAGCCCTACAACAATTTCAGGTGAGTACTTACAGCAGTTTTTAATCCATGGCTCAGTGACTATAAAACTCTATGCTACTAACAAAGGATGAAATATTTTATGTAACACTTTCTGAAATGTTTAGACTCCATATAAATACATATTTTAGAATAATATAACTTATTTCACACACTTTGGGAATATTTTCAGGAGGAACCTGGTGATAAGGAGAAATCTTTTAAGAAAAAAATACATCAATGAAAAAATATATAAAATATCAAATAATAAAGTGTTTCTGTAAATACTGTGCTTTCAAAAGTCAGTAAAAAGGGAGCTCTGGTGGCCTCGTGGCAAGAAGCTGCACTGCAATCCCAGATGTGCCTTGTTCGAATGCACCAGATGCTCTGCTGGAGGAGAGACAATCTCTTCTTCTACCAGTCAGAGCTGATTTGATGGTACATGCACAAAAAAAAAGTTTAAAAAAAAAGTCAGTAAAAGACAGGAAAAATCTTAGGGATATGGATTGGCACAGTGAAAACAACAATGGGCATAGAGAAACTGAGGTTGGTGCAGAATAAGGCAAGGTACATGTCTATTGCATATTAGAATCACTAAATGTTGGTAGTTATAGAAAGGCTTCAGGACTTTTCTTCATAGAGTCGCTATGAGTCATGCTCGACTCCATGGCAATCAACAATACAAAAACAACATAATGTAACTAATTCCATAATTCTCAAATATTTCTAGTAGCCGAGTGGTTAGGAGTTGTGTAGCTAACCCAAAGGCAGGAGGTTCAAATCTACAAAGTGCCCTGGCGTTGAGAGGAATAGAAGGGCTGGAAAGACGGGCAGTCTCTTCCTGTGTGACTTACAGACTCTCCAGGAGGGTTAACTATGAATCAGTCCTGACTCAATGTCACATAACAACAACAAATATTTAAACGAGTCGGGTACTCTATTTCATACTCCTTAGTGTTGCACTGCCCAAGCACTTAACTGCTGATGGACAGGTTGACCGTTTGAATGACCTCAATAGCTCACAAGAGCAAAACTTTGTGATCTGCTTCTGTAGAGACAGTAGGCAAGAAATTTCTGTGGGACAGTTTTACAATGTGACATGTTATGTTGTCTTTATGTAGCTTCAATTCAGAATTGACCCATTGCTGACCCTCCAGCAGGTTTGCAAAGGGTATCTTTGGACATGTGGCATAGATCTCTATAAATTGAAATGGATTGGAAAGAACTCAACAACTAAATAACCTCACCTTTCAAAATGAGCCTGCAGAGGCAATATTTTTTTCCATTCAACTAGTAAGAAATTAATAAATAATAAACTGAGGAATAAGTAATGTGTGCAGGATCACACAGCTGTTAATGATCAAATAAGGAATCAAACCAATTCTTAACCATTCCAAATGCCAGGATTCAGGGACTCTACCCTATAAGGTTTTGTGAGATAACGTCCTTCCTATTTATTAGAAACATAAGAGTTTTTTATATTTATTGATAACTGATTACCTTTGTCTCTTTTACTTAAAAATAACTATTTTTTACTAGTTTATTTACAAAATTCTGATACAAATTTGAAAAAATTCTTTCAATTTCCTCACTCTTCACCTATCAAATAGTACAATCCAATAATTAATCCCCTTTGCCCTGTATATCCACATCCCTCTGCTTCCAGCCTCTCTCACCCCTCCTGGATCCTTATATTCATTCTAAAAAAACAGTCTTATACAATATTTATCCTTGCGGGACTGAGTTAGTTCACTCAGCATAATTCCTTCCAGTCCCTCCCAAGTTAGGTAATAATTTACAAAGTTACTGCTCCTGCATGCTGTATAGTATTCCATTGTGTGAATGTAGCATAATTTCTCTATCCATTCATTTGTGGTTGAACATTTGGGCTGTTTCCATGTTCTTGTAATGGTGAATAATGCTACTATGAACATTGGTGTACAAATCTCAGTTTGTATCTCAGCTTTCATATTCTCAGGGTATATTCCAAGTAGAATAGCTGGGTCATATGGAATTCCTATGCTCAACTTTTTGAGGAAGCACCAAACTGCCTTCCAGAATGGTTGCGCCATTTTACAATCCCAAAAATTGTATAAGAGTTCCTTTCTTGCCATATCCTCTCCAACATCTATTACTTGCTGCCCTGTTAAACTTTGCTACTCTTGCTGGAGTGAGATGGTACCTCATTGTGGACCTGATTTACATCTCTTTTATCGCCAGTGATTTGGAGCATGTCTTCCTGTGTCTCTTTGCCATTCAAATATCTTCCTCTTGAAAATTCATTTCATGTCTTTTGCCCATTTTGTAATTGGGTTATTGGTTTGTTTTTTTTTTCTTGTGGAGGCCCAGGAATATTCTGTAAACTTTTGTTATAAGACTCCTGTCTGAGGTGGTATTTTCAAATGTTTGTTCCCAGACTGTAGGTTTTCTTTTCACCCTGTTGGAAAAAGTTTTTTGATGTGTACAGAGATTTAATCTTTTTTTTTAAAAAAAATTAGTGCAAAGTTTGAAAATCTTCAGTTCATAATTCCAAAAAAAACACTGAAAACAAGCAAGATTTACACTTATACTCAGATGTTGTTGTTGTTACGAGCCATTGAGTCACCTGAGAATTATAGCAGCCCCTTTGACAACAGCTCTGAATCCTGACCTATCATGGGCCCATATCACTGTCTGTGCCACACTTATCCCCATTGTCCCAGTTACTTTATCAATGCATCTCGTCTGGGATTTTCTTCTCCTGTGTTGTCCTTCTACCATTTCAAGCATGATGTCCTTCTCCAATGACCAGTCCCTCCTAGGCATATGTTCAAGACCACAATTCAAAGGCATCAATTCTTCTGCCATCCTTAGTTAGTGTCCATCTCTCCAATGCATTGCAAGCAATTGTGATGACCATGGCCTGGATCAGGTGCACCTTAGTCTCTAGAATGACATCATTGCTTTTAAGTACTATGTTGAGGTCCTTGATAGGAGATTTTCCAAGTACAGTTTATCTTTTAATTTCCTGACTGCTAATGCCAAGAGTGTTCATTGTGAATCCAAGCAAGCTGAAACTGTTAACAACCTCAGTCTCTTCTTCATCCATCATGGTGCTGCCAGTTGGCCCAGTAGTGAGAATCTTTGTCTTCTTGTTGTTGAGCAATAGTCAGTGTGTTAATTAATCTGGCTGAAAGTCTTCCTCTCTTTTACTGATCCTCCAGTTTTTGAGGTACAATGTCTTTTTCCAAGGAATAGCTTCTCCAAGCAACATGCAGGAAGTATATGAAAAGAAGCAATAGTCCTTAACTTCCTGCAGCAAGTACTTCACATCCTCCTGTTTCATCAACCAAGGTTGTGTCATTTGCATAACATAGGTTGTTGATGAGTCTTCCTCCAATGCTGATGTCACATTCCTCCTCATAAAGCCCAGTCTCCTGAATGATCTGAGTCAGTATTTAGATTTATAAGGATAGTATCACTATGTAAACACCATTGATATTTAAGATATAATTACAATTTTATAGTCTTTTGAAAGGAGGCAGGAATTACATTTTTCCTATCTTTTTGAACACCCTTACCTAGCATGTCTATTTGATATATCAAATCTCTAATCTCTTAAGTGTTTTTCCACTGTCTTTCTGTGTATATACTCTTGTTTCCTGCTGTCAAATAGATTCCAACTCAAGGAGGTTCTATAGGGCAGAGTAGAATTGCTCTGTAAAATTTCCAAGGATGTAATCTTTATGACACAAGCATTGAGAACTCTCTTTCAAAGGGTCGGTATGAGTCGCCTGTATCTCGATGGCACTTAACAACAACAACAACAACAATCTTTATGAGGAGCTCTGGTGATTTAGCGGTAAGGAGTTATGTGGCTATCGCAAAGAAATGTAGTGTACACTTTAGAGCTTCCAGGGGAGAAAGATAGGCAAATTTCTCCAGTGCAATTAACGGCCTCCAAAAACCCACTGAAGGGTCTACTATGAGCTACTTTCAATTTGAGATTACATAACAAGAATAATGTTACTGAGCTCTGGTGATGTAGTCTGTAGAGAGCTGCATTGCTAACACAGAGGCCACACCTCTCTGGCAGTTTGAATCCAACAGTGGTTGCTTGGTAGAAAGATCAGCAATCTCCATCCATGCCATTTACAGCCTCAGGAATCACTGGAGGGTTAGCTATTTGTCAACTTTTACTTCATGACAATGAGATTAAGAATTTTTATGGATGCACATGGCCTTATCTTTTTCCTCCAGGGAGTATGGTGGGTTTGAACTGCCAATATTTTAGTTAGCAATCAGATATCTAATCACTGTGGCACAAGGGCACCGTGTGCATCTACTAATTAACTATGATAATAATAATAATTTCTTTTTTTTGTTCTTCCATTAAATTATATTAAATTTCCTGAAAATGGGCTTGGTCCTTATAGAGGAAAACAACAATAGAAGCAACTTGGTAAAAGTGATATTGTATAAATCTTCAATTAGTTGTCAAGAATAACTATAATTTTTATGGTCTTAAAATTGGCATTAAAAGGTGT